CATTAAAAAATTAAATGTAATAAAATAAAAAACAAATTCTAAAATTTGAAGTTTTTTTTATGAAATCATCCCCCCACACGCCATATAAAGTACTAAAGAATAGATTTCGCTCATTGTAACAAATCAATTATGGCAAATAAGCTTCTTTGAACCAATTTGGAACGATTTCTAAGACGGATTAAATCTCCGCTTACGCGTTAATAGCGCGAAATATATCGCGCGTTAATTGTCCCAAATTGGCCAAAATGGCAATCTTTAAACCCCCATAATTACGAAAAATGATCACAGGTGAAATATCTTTTCAAATTTAGGCTCAAGATAACAATACCTTTCGAATGATATTTTAAAAATTTCGTCAAAAATGGCAAGTTAAAAAGTCGAAATTTGTCTGAAGAAAAAAAAACCCACCCCGAGCACAAATATTGCGTTACTTTCGTATCGAAAGTCGGAACAATAACGACAAGCTAATATATATTTAGCGACTTGATTTGTGATATTTTGATTCGCTCTAGGTCTGCCCTGTGAAATTCCTGCAAACTAATATTTAATTTGAAAATAATCATTTAATATATTAAAATAAAACAAAGAAAATTAAAATAAAAAACAATCATAATTTGAACGCTCGTCTCAGGACACCAAGTCAAAACTTAACCAATAAACAAAAGAACCGTGATAGAACAAAATTGGAATGCGTAGTAAATGAAAAAACGCATAATTGTAAAATTGTTTTTCCCCGGGCTTTTTTCATCCTTGACAGTCTTCTCTCTCTTCCCTACAACCGTGATTCCTTTGCTTTCAGGGATTCAACTCACAGTCAGTTATAACTATTATGTCTATAAATTATCAAGAGTTACGATAGAATCAAACCCCGTATCCCTCGTTTCCAAGTCTCAGTTAACCACTATGCTATGGATTTATAGAAAAGATGAAATAAATCAAACTATTATTTTTCTGACAAGAGTGCATATAGACGCTGGCCGTCCTAAGACGACTTGTTTTGTCATCCTTGAGGTGTCTATTCGAAGGATGCGACCAATCCGTATGAGGCTTCTTTTTTCTATCTTCAAGTGTAAACTGTCCACTTTAAGTTTATTGCTCTCACCAACAATATCGGTTTTTGTTCTTGCATCTCTAATGGAAGTGGCTGTTTTTTTGAGCTTCAGATGTGTTTTTATTTATTTCCTTCTGTAGGTACTCAATTTCTCCTGTTCAATGGTCTTAAGGCACAGACTAAAAGGGCTGCAGCTTCTATGATTTTAGCTTGGGTTGGTCTGGATAAATTCGGGTGTTTTAGTTTTTTTTTGTACAGTAAAGATGGCCTTTTGCATGCGGTCCCGTCTTTTCTTCTTTTCTTTGTATCGACCTCGCGGTCGCAGTGTGAGCCTAACATTCATTCTAATGTTCTGCTCTCCAAAAAAGGTGTTCCTCTTTACTGCGATGACACCTTTCTTCGAACTTCGCTAGACTGTCGTTAACAATGTCTTTCCCGTTTCCTGGTTCTTGTTCTGTTCCGATCAGAGTAGTGTGGTCACCAAAGAAAATATCGGTGATAGTTTTTTATATTGTTGCGGTACTCCCACTGGTTCGCTTCAGATCTTGTGGGGAAGGAGAGCAGCCTGGAGTCCATTGCCATTCGTTTCTCGGGGAAAGTTGTTTTGTTGTATTCGTCTCTCTGTACCTATTCTCATCGCGGTACTATGGTAAATATTGAGTAGGACGGGAGGTGTTACAACCTTCTCTTAGTCATGGGAGCGGCTTCAACTTGTCACTTCATGAAGACCTTGCAGTATTTTGAGCGTTTCCGGTTTTACACTTGATTTCTTGAGGATGTTCCATAGGAACCCTTGTTGATCCAGGGATACGCTTTTTGATATCTATTAAAACTGCTTTTGGTCGATTGTTCTCCGTGAAGGGATCCAGGATTTTGATTTCTTCGTTTATCCTGATTAATACTTGGGCAGCCTCTGCCGTTGACCATCCAAGTCTAAAACCGTGATGTTTGTCATCGAGCAGTCCTTAAATTTCGCTCCGGTCTCTCAGACGAGAGGCCATTACGCTAGCCAGTATTCTCGATCCCATAGTCAGAAGACAGATACCTCTTTAGTTTCCCATATCTTTGAACAGGGGGATGACCACCCCCTCATTTAGGATGTTTTCCAATTCATCCGGATGTGACTCTGCCATTTTCTGGATTTTTCTGGCTAATTCAAATTCGATTGTTGCATGGAAGTTTTTGATCAATTTGATTGTTATTTTATCTTTTCCGGGGGCTCCATCGTTCATGTCTGACCACGCCTCTATGATTTCCTCGATCGTGATCTCACTTTAAAGTGTCTCAGCTGCCTGCTCGAAGCGCTGATCGCCCCCCACTTTGATTAGTAATCCAGGAGAGAACTTCATCGATCTCTACATGGCATTGTTCATATCTGGTTGCAGAAACAGCATGCTTTTTCCCTGCATCTTCTGGCCCGGTTGAAACTCTTTCTCTGGTGTTTAACTTCATCGCGTGCCGAAATATAATCTTCTGATGTCTGAAAGCCACTATTTTCTCGTATGTCTGCTGTTTTGCACCGCTGCGGAAATCGTGTCTCTGAACGTTTGGCATTCGTTCTCTTTCTGCCATCCATGGCAGGCTGCTGCTCTTTTTCTGTTTCCCGCAAGTTTCTTCGGCGATGGCGACAACACGTTTGGTGCTGTGCTCCCATGTTACCCTTTAGAGAGACTCAATTTGTTCTCTTGTTTTTCTGATGAACTCCTTTTTTGATATTTTCATCATTTAGTCTGTCTGTGTTGGTTTTTGGCGATCTGTAGTGTCCTGTGATGACTTTAGTTTTCTTGATACTCAAGGTAATTTGCTTTGGGCCGTAGTCTAAGAGAAAGTCCTCGGCGATGGTCGTGATGTCATTTGACACTAGTCTTCCATGTTTTTTCAGGAACAAACCGTCCAGATCGTACCACTGTTTGTATCTGCGGTGGAACCACGTTCCTATATGATTCATTCGAAAGAATGAAACCGCTCAGCAGAGGCCCTATTCCTGGCACCATTTTAGAACATCCGTCTCAGTTTCGTCTATCTGCCTCATACCATAAGGTCTTCTAGTCTCTTCGGCTTCTGCTATGCCCATAAGGCTATTGTGATCTCCCCCAATAATGAGCCACTTTTTTAAAATAATGATGGCAATGTGTCCCTCCAGTTCCCTTCTGTAGACTTCGCGAGCTGTTTCGCCGTGGTCCCAGAGGGGTTGGTAACAAGTCTCATCTTCATCACCGTCAGTGTCGTCATTCGGTCTCTTCATTTCTTTTGACCTTCGTCAATACATTTCTGTTTTCATCCGCAGCAGAGACTAATGGCGGATTTTTTCGAGTGGACGATTACTGCTGAGTCTTTACGCTCGCCTGTCATATTTTTTCTTCGTCTTCTGTAATTTTGCTGACCAAGACCACGTGGTGTTCTTTTACGCAGAAAAACACAAACTCGCAGAGCTTTTTTCTGATGTTTAGTCGTACGGACATGCGTTGAAGGTTCCATGTTTTTATGGCTGCGGTTTTTCTTCAGCTCTTTCCTTAGCTTTCCTTTCCTGATTTATGTGTGCCTCGTGCGTTTGCGTAATTTCTTTTTTCGTTTTTGTAGTTGTTCTCGTGTTGATCTGCTATTGTTGTCTAGCAACTACATCTGTTGCATTGAAAGTCTGTTCCAATTTTTAGTACTTGATGTTTGTACATCGTTGCGAAACCCAGCCTCCGTTAGAAAACCTGACTCCTATTTCTTGTTTTTCGGATAAGGTGAGGTTTCATATTGGGCATATGACTTGAGGGCCAAATTTAACAGATGTGCAGAACATTTTTCCTCGGTCAAACAAATACCGCCTATCGCGGCGGAGAACCAGTGATGATTTTTCCTTCCGTCATTTGTAACGGATGGTTCGTCGGAGGAGAGTGGTGTTCCCGAGCGAGAGCGCTCTGGGATCCCATCACCTTCTTTGTTCTCCGACATTGGATTCGGCAGTTTGTTTCTGCAGACAAGTCAGCAGTCTACGGTTGCCAAATCTTGAATGTCCCGAATCCACGGGCAATCTTAGAGGTGTCTGGCTTCTTAGTCCATCCAAGACCAAAGATGACACGTTCAATTAGCTGTGTCTGGCTTTTTCATCTTCATCATTAGTTTTTCACCCTCTTCTTGGATTCGAAAGTGTAGTGAGAAAAGCCGAAAGCGGCCACATTCTCGATAATGATTTGAGTGAGTTTTTTTTCTGCAGAGCCTTAAGCGGCCACTGTACATCTGTTTTCTTTTGCCCGAATATGTTGTTCTGGAGAGCCTAAGGCGGCCATTATTTCTGTTTTTCTTTTTGTCTGAACTAATACTGAGCCTAAAGCTGAGCCTGCTGATTAAATAAGCGAAAGTTCCCTGACAGCGAAGTAAGTTGAAGACATCAGCAGCTAGATGATGGGGAATAACACGACTGAAGTCAGAACTGATTTTTGTTCGCAGGCCTTAAAGCGGATATACATTCTATCAGAGCAGCATTCAAGGAATAAATTAAAGGTAGACCTAAAGTGACCATACCGTGCGAATAACATGAAAGTTGACCAAAAATTAATCGGGAATGAAGATATATATTACAAAAACGGCTTTAATGAAACAAGATAACGATAATTTGAGGGAATTTAATGAGACCCTGAGTAAAGATATTAAAAAAGATATTATTACTTTAAGACTTTCGTCTTTCTCTGCTGCGAATGAAACATGCATAGCGGCTAGAATCCCTTTTGGTCTTGGATGGACTTTTTCAGATTTCAAAGAAACTTTTGTTTTCCACTAACGTCAATTGAACTCGTGCACTCGCGTTTTAATGATAGGTTAAAAAAAACTTTTGTTTCTTATCAGATTTCAATGAAACGTGTGAAATTCAGATTTCAAAACAGCTTTCGTATCTTATCAAAATCAAGAGAACTTATAGCCAGTAATGCCGAACAATCTGATGTTTTGTTATTTACTACAGAACTCAAGCTGCCAAAAGGGACCAAACAGGGGGCCAAATTGTTCAATCTTTGAGTGTTCCAAAGTGGACATGGAGTGTGAGGTTGAGAATGCACAAGTGCTGCTGAAGAACATCACCAATCTGAAGAGCTGTGGGGAGGAGAAGTTGAGGGAGATGTTGCTGAGTACTCAGGAGCAGCTCAATTCCAGAAATGGAGAGATGCAGAAAATGTCCGAGTGAGTAGATTGCGATAGGCTCGGATAGATTTTGAAGCTTTTGAAAGAAAGAGAAAGAAAAAGATTTCAATTCACCCATTAGGGATGTTACAAAACACTAATAGGCATTATAATGTACAGAAAAGGCAACAGAATTTTTAAAAATCTGATTAAATATGGTGTATAAAGAAACACACGTTGGGATTAGCTTTAGCGACACAGTGACATTAGCTTGAAATGAATAAATTTGTCTAGAAAGTTCAATAACACATTTAGGATATTGTATTGTAGATTAAAATTGTGGTTTGGTGGGGGTTGGATTAACAAGATCCAAAATTCTTATTCTCATTGAGCAAAATATGGATCCTTAAGACTGTCAGTTTTTTTAGAAATGGGTGAGTGTCATGAGCAGTGTGTGTGTGTTTAGATTGCGTGATACAATCAGTGCCGAGTTGGCCGAACTCACTTCGTGTCTGTTCGAAGAGGCCAATCGGATGGTGAGTGAAGCGAATAAGGAGAGATTCATGGCGGAAAAGAGAGCGAAGGAAAGTCAACTTGCAGTCTCATTACTACAGGAAGAAATAAAAGTACTCAAGTCATTTTCGACCAGGTTCAAACTATCTCAGAGACTAAGTCGCAATCAGAGTCTGGATTCAATTAAGACCAACAGAAATCAAGCACCAAAGAAATCTTTCGAAGAGACAAAGCTTTTATCACTAGGTGTATCAAATAGCCAAAACTCACTTGAAATTGTAGACAAATACGCGGAGTTTGAAAAATTGGACACAAAAATGTTCCATGACTTTCTTGTCTGGCGTGAAGATCCTCAGTTTTTACGCAAAGCCAATTTTTACTGTCAAATTCTAGATAATGATTTAAAACCGTGCCTAAGTTTCTGTCAAAGTGATATTCGGGACCAAATTCTAAGTTCGTGCGAGGCCAATCGGCTAGTGATTGAGAGTATAGCTCAGCCAAGCAGTAGTAGCGATGACGCATCACCCAAATCATTGCACTGTCAATTGTCAGGCACGGCAAGAATATGCAATTTCAAGGCAAGTAGAAATATCTGTAAATTTTGTCTGTTTCCAACTCGAGAATCTGTAAGCTAAATAAGAATAGGCATAAAAAGAATGTAAAATTGGATAATTATTGCACAAGAGAGCTGGCGAGGGTAATGTTATATAACAAAGCCAGTTTTTCGTACCTAATTTAAAAATAAAAGTGGTCATTTGGTAGTACTTTTGCTGTATAGCATTGGAATTTTAATAGCATCTATTGCATCGGCTTAAGTGGTCGTTTTAAGCAGCCATGGGTCTCATGCAAAGACGTGAGGTTCGATATTTGCAGGTCGAGTGTTCGATTTCAGCACTTACCAATATTCATATTTTTCAAAAGAAATTAATTTTCGCCGTTTTCTCACATTTGCTTGCGAAGTGCAGCTTCGCCTCCGTGTAAAATTTATAATTTTTGTCTGAATTCGGGTAGCGGAAATTGAGCATACAGAGTATAAAATTTATAGAGTCTGTCTGAGTTCGGAGACCGGTAATTGGGTATACAGGTTATTGCGTCTAAAAATCAAAAAGACCTGTTATGTAATGGCTTGAACCGAACAGTGATCGCCGAGTAAATAGTGATCAGCACGATCACGACTTTTAATGGCTTTGACCAAACTCTGACCGCCGCAAAGATTTTATATGAGTTTTCGGTTGGTCACTACGTCGGCTTATTGCACCTCATTTTTCACACCTAATTTATTTTTGTCGTTTCAATTTTTTGTCATTACACTAGCCAGCATTTAGTGTATTAGTACGAACCTTCTTTTTTTCTAATCTGACTCGAAAATAAAATTGTTCATTGGTAGTTGAAAGTGTTTTTAATTATTTGGTCGCACTGCTATAATGACGATCTCTAGCATTGGAAATTTCATAGCATATGTTCTTTGCTTTACTTATGGCTAGTGTTTGCGAATTTTAAAGCGTGCGTGGCTGACTGGCTAGTGCGTTATACTTATAGTCTCTAGGTAGCAGTAGGTCGGAGACAATTTTCCACAATTCTGTCTTCAAAAAAAACAAAAAATGTTCGCAGCGGGAATCAAACCCTGAACCTCCGGACCTCGAGTTTAATGTGTTAGACACTATGCTCACTAGTCTGTAATTCGCGTGGTATAGTGGATAAAACATCTGCCTGAAAGCCATTGGACCCGTGTTTAAACCCCGGTGGGGACCAGCTTTTTTGCTCACCTGAGTTAAATTCGTTGTTTTTGCCACCTATTGTAATACATCACTTGATTTTCCTTTTTAATCAATTTTCTAGCCCTACCTTTGAATTCATTGGGAGACTGTTTTTTGAGGTATGGAAGGCAGTTTTCAACCTGTTGGCTTTCTCTTTTTTGTCAAAATGTTTATTTGCTAAGTTTCAAATGAAGCGGAAAATTTCTCTGTGGGAGTATGTAGTTTATTACTGAAATTTTTGGAAATCTGTAGCTTTTCAATCAAATTGGTCGGGGGTCCTAATCTTCGCTTCAATATATGAAGATAGATAAAAAGCGATGCATTTTGACGTGCTTTGACGCCAATTATTCATATTCTCTCTAAATGGTTTCTGTTCTGTTGAAGGTGATTGTGTTAGATGTTGAATGTTCACCTCAGTCGTCCTATGTGGTGTGTAAGATGGTGCGCAATCGGATAGCCGCAGTCTGTGAGCTCCTCACCTTCCTCAGATATGTCTCCCAGAACCTCTACGCCTCCCATCAGAGTATAGATCTCTTTCTCAAACTCACAGATCTACAGAAACTATGTGCCATGGCTAGACTCGGTTTTGTGTAGCAACCACTGGTTTTCTAGAGTGATCTGTCGATTGTGGCAACAGTAGTTCTGAAGATTGCTAGTGTATAATGGCGAACTGTGATAAATTATCATGTTTGAAGTTGCGCTGATCAGACAAGTTTCCATATAATATAGCCTTATGCATGACACTCAAATTATGCTCATTTAAAATAATCATATAGAGTGGAAGTTGTCTTAATTGTTTAATATTACAAGTGCAAAACTGGGACCAAAGGAGACCATGAAATTTTGTTGCTGTTATTGGGTAATTTAATCATTAAGCATCCCGCTGTAATTGAAAAAAACATAGCACCAACCATCAAATTTTAATTGTCTTTGAAATTTTGTATTGCTTATTTATCTATAAAAAAAGTGTCTTTTGCATCCACAAGAACGATTTGTTTTTTTTTGAGCTCCTGTGAAGTTCTTTGAGCAAAAAACTTACCGCGCACCATTTTTTTGATGGCTGCTGTTGAAAAAATTTTGATCAGATGGTTGTCACTTGTTTATAACTCTTGCAGTTCGTGTCTGTTAATGAACAATAAACATCGGAAAAATTTTTATAGTTCAATTGAGCACAACGATATCAAACTTGCCCTAAAATGATTTTTAGTCGGTAAAAAGATTTGCATCAGTATTTGAGTATCTAAAACCCAAAACTGTTTAGTTGCTAGCTACTATCCCAGACCTAGCCTTAATTAAACAGCCTTTGGTGGTAAAAAGAAGTCCATCAAAAATTACGAAAAAACACTGCTCGTACAAATATTTATTTGTTCTCTGAAACCTTATTGATTCTGTCTTCCGTCAAAGTATAAAATATAAAGTGCTTATTAGTTAGTTGTGAATTAGAATTTATGCAATTGTTAATTGAATAGTGAAATTTCCATTACTGCTACCTTAGTATTTATTGTTCCGACCACTTCACGATGTATAGGGTACGATGTTTTTTTCCAGCATATTTGACTACCTAAATGAAAGCGTGAAGGTTTTGAGCATGATATCATATTAAATCACTTCCACTCGTGGTTCGGTCGAGAAAAATTGCTTTTTTTTCGATTTACAGATCAGACCATCTTGATGGCACGCATTGAATTCAAGCCCAATTTAGTTCTAGTTATTTTTTTTACGTTGATGGAGATTTAATTTTATCTGCTTTCAGGTTTTAACTCAAATGCTCTCTACTAAAAATAGTCTACAGGATTTTTTTTGAAGAATGTCTTCATTTTTTAAATTTGATTCCATAGTGGTCGGAACATTGTGCTACATACATACACAGCAAACGGATATCCTTGCTCTGAATTTAACATTTGTCCGTTCAGTTTTTCTCTCATAGACTTGAGAGGTTTCTATAGTTTGGCTTGTTAGTTTTTCAGCCCCAATTTTATTGGTTTATTTTCTCTCAAAATAGGTTTTTATTGAATGGCAATTCAAGAAAACAAAGGAATTGATAACCAATTTGTGACAACAAAGGGAATGTTTTTAGTTTTTGATGAGTTAATTTATTTTTGCTTGTGCAAGTCACTTCTCAAATTGTTAATTGTTAAGTTTTAAACTATTTTTTTAATGATTAGGAGTCATGAACCGTGGTGGGAAATCGTTAATCGCAAATCCGATATATCGCGTAGCAATATATCGAAATATCAATCGATAAGCTTTCAAGTATCGCGATAATCTATCAACTGGAAACTCGACAAGTTCGAATCTCTATTTTGTGATATATGGGTTCTGACTGTCCCAACTTCGAATAAGATCCGCGATGTTGGACAATGCTACGAACGATCTTAAGGTTGCATTGGGGTACTATAATTTGCCTTGTGTTACCATAAAATTGAATATATTTTTTATCGTGTTAAATAATACTAAGTGTGGTTTCTTGGAGGGACGACCACTAATACAGATATATAGGATTCCGATTATCGGATAATCTATTGAGAGGGTTCAATGTATCGCGATATTTTCTGGACACCAAAATATTTATCGTCGATACCATACTTCACACTCCTGGTAAAGAACATTATGAATACTCACACATATAAATTGGTGATTTTTTTTTCAGGAAAAAGTCTGTAAAATTTGTTCACATTAAGATTTGGTAACTTTAGGTTTAGTGAATAATTAATTCAAATTTTTTTTATCTCTCCGGTACCTTTGATCTGGAGGTAACGAATGTGCCTGTGACAGTAAAGGTCCTGGGTTGGAATCTGACGGCCTGTTTTTTTTTCAAACGGGAAGTAGTCCGTTTCACAAAAGAATCATAGGCTTTTTAATGTATGCTTATGTTTTTTCGGCTTAGTTGCCATATTGTAGAATGGCTTTATTTAAGTTTTCTTACATTATAGCTGCTATTAGTGTTCTGATTTACTTCTGCTGTTTGTAATTTTACAAACCTTGACGACGTGTATTTTCTTATTTAATGTTTTGTTTTCGCTTAAATTTTTTTTTGCCCAAATGTTTTCGGGCTTTTTTTTATTGATTTACTGAGCCGTTTCAACTGAAGCATCTTTTTATGATCACCTCTGGATTGCACAAAATGCTAAAAATCATGAGAAAAGTTTTTAATGACAACAATTTTTTTTCGGCGTTTTATCCTGTGTTTTCGGCTTGAGTAGTTTCAACCTATTTCATATCGGCCTCATTTTGTGTCTTTTGACGAGCGAAAAAAATTTATGTGTGCGTGTCCGTGTTTTGAGGGCGAGGGGGACTCCATAACTTCTTTTTATCCTTAAGTTTCATTGAATTTTTTTATTTTCCTTTTTTCGGGCTTTATAGGTTTCCGCCTAAATTATATCGGCTTAATGGCCTCATATTGTTTTATTTTACCTGTAAATAATTTTTTTTGAGTGTTTGTGTGTTTTGAGGCAGAGGGGGACTGATAAACTTTTCATAAGTCTTGAGCCTTGTTGATTTTTTTCGGCTTAAAGAGTTTCTGACCAGGTATTTTCGGCTTTGTTATCGCTGGGTACATTTTCTTCCGATGTTAATTTCACTTTCAATTGTCTTGACATGTTTTTGTTTCAAAACTGGCCTTATTCAGTTTTTAAGATTATTTTTTTTTCAATTTTTCTTGTTTTGCATCGCAATTGGTGCAAAGCTCAGCTTCGGCTCTTGTTCAAATTCAGTTCAATTCGTTTGTTGAAAGGAAAGCAAACTTAACTATCAAACAGCAAAATTGTAAAGGTAAAAAAAATGTGATGAATTTTTAGTTTCGAAAGAGGATTTAATTTTCAGATTTTGTAAACGCAAAGTTTTTTTTAATGAGAAGCGGGTTTCAGAGGGTGTGTAATGGACGCGGAGGAGAAGCTGGCCGGTATAAAGAGTAACCTGCAGGAGGTTGTTGGGGAGGAGAAGGTTAAAGAGATCCTCCAGTCGGGAAGAGACCTCAACATCTACTGGGGCACAGGGAAGATGGTCATATCTAACACACTAGATATAATCATAATAATAATAATAATGATCCGAATCAATGCCAAAACATCAAGATAGACCTTTTAAAAAAGCGTTTGTTTTGTATCACTGAAAATTTTTACTAAAGACTATAGGGTAGAAATAAAAAATTATCCGAAAATATCAAAATTTTCACAGAAAATCTCAATCAAAGTTGTGAAGTTTTGCAGAATTAATTATTTCGCCCATGTCTTTTGCATATAATAATTTTCTTTTTTTAACATTTCCAAGAAAAATTAAGATGACTTGTAATAACCAACTTCGACCATCCTTATTGCATAACAGCTACAACTGGCAAACCGCACATTGCTTACTTTGTACCCATGGCCAAAATAGCCGACTTCCTACGCGTGGGCTGTCACGTGACAATACTGTTCGCAGACTTGCACGCATATCTGGACAACATGAAAGCGCCTTGGGAACTACTAGGTGGGGCAAATTTAAAGTGACTTAATGTTGACATTTTTATGCTTTATTGCTTGTGGACCAGTTAAAAATTGGTATTTGTTACCAAATTTTGCAGCAAAGGAGATTTAAGTGGTTTGGAAAATTTAAGTGGTTTTGATCTTTAAACGTTATGTTTTGGAGTGCGCAGTGCCCATCTGAACACTCTGTTGGAGTGTCCGATGTTTGCTTTGGCATAAGTGGCGAATCAATTGAGTTGAGTTTTTTTTTCTTCATGAAGTTGAGCTTCAAAATAGTAGGAATATAAAATAAGTCTCATTCGTTGTAGCTCTTCGCACTCAATACTACGAGGCCATAATCAAGGCCATGCTGGAATCCATAGGAGTGTCTCTGGAAAAGCTGAAATTTGTGAGGGGCACAGACTTCCAGTTGAGCAGAGAGTACACTCTGGACGTGTACAAATTGTCCAGTCTGGTCACAGAACACGATGCTAAAAAGGCGGGCGCCGAAGTTGTTAAACAAGTGGACCACCCACTCCTATCAGGTGAGCATAGCGGAGCACGTTTTTGGAATTATCGGCGACTTTGAGCATCCTTATATGTTGGAAAGTATTAATTGTAAATTAAATAGTTTTTTTTGCACCTGTCGAAATGAGTAAAAGTTTGGTTCTTGGCGTCAAAATGAGCAGTTTTATGTTCAATGACTTTGCTCAGATGCGCTGGCCGAAAAGGATTTTACAAACATTAGGTTTTAACTATAAATACCTAAATTATTGATGTACCCATCTAGTCATTATACTGTTACAGTCTTCGAGTAAACTTGCTTGTACCTGAACTTAACGTTGGTTGCTAAGATTTGCTTTGCATCGCGGTACATAAAAGTTGGTATAAATTCATTTTTACGAGGGAGTGATGTAAATAAAAGATCGCAATAATTTGTTATTGTTCCGACTATTGAAAATGGGGAGGAACTTTGTATTCAGGTGTGTTAGTTTTTTCTTTGTTTTCCACGCAAAATCAGGTACCACAAATAATCGTCGGACTGAATTGAGTGATATATCAGATAAAAGACTTTTCAGTTGTGATTCGAACCACATGAAAAATTTCTTTAAAGTTTTTTTCTGGTGTTGAGAAAAACCGGTTTGAATTTTTTGTTTTATCATCTTACTTCGAGCGAATAAGTCTAGCGACCAGGCTTACAACATCAGAATTATGCCTAATTTAAGATCTTAAAACTTCATTTTAAGCAAGGAGTTTTTAGCTTCATTTTGGGAAGCAAAAATTTCAAAACATTTAAAAAAATTTTAAAGTTTTTCTAGTAAGTTTTCTACAAAAATTTTTGGTCCAATTTGCCTATATTACTATGACTGTCTACTATGCCTAAATTATTTTTTACTTCAGATTCTTGTAACACACCAAGCAAAGAAAACCACACTTATTTGGAAAAAAAATCTGAACCGTAGTTTTCTAAAGACTATGGTAGGAAGATTCTGTGCTACTTGCACAGTAACCGGCTATCCTTGTACCTTTTTGATTTTTGTGTATGCCGTCTTTTCCTAAAGAATTTTGCACCAGCACGAACTGAAAGAAGTGAACTTAATTGATTTCCACTCATAATCTAAAAAGCCAGCTTTTAGGAGAATAGCTAAACTGATATAACTTCGCACGAAATTTTAAGCAGTTCATAAGTTACTAATTCCTTAATAGATACACAAGTGAAGCGCATTGTATTATTACGAAGAATTTTTTTCCAGCCTAAGTCGCAAATAAAAGTGCTCATTTGGTGGCGTTTTGGTGTACTTCAATTTAATCATATTGAAGCATAGACAATTTAATAGCATATGTTGCTGCTTTGTTTTCGGCTGGTGTTAGGTCCTGTTTGATTAAAAAACAGGTATTATGAAAAAGTATGGAATTCGTTGTTTTTTTGCGACGCTCTGGAAAATTTTTGCACTTTCCCAGAAATTTCAATTTTTCTTACAAACTACTGTTCTGATTTTCAAAAAAAGGGGACCAATGGAAAACTCGGATCCTTTTCTATGTGCTGCCTGTATATTTCGCTAGTCTCCCACTTTTAATTTTAACCCACGTTCTTTGGCCTTCGAAAGTTTTAGTTGGGGGATTTTTGATCTAATCTATTATACATTTAAATGCGGGCTTCACTATCTCGCCATGTTTAAGCTTTTTCAACGTATTATTTTTGCATGTTTAACGAAAGCATTTTTGCACGCTTAAGCTATATCGTATATTGCAATGATTTAGTTTTTTTTCGATTTTCCACTCTCAATTCAGTGTTTAATTCAGCGAGTTTAAAATCAGCGACCCAATAGTGGCATGCTATCAGGGCTGTCAACAATGATTGCCCAAATTTTTTTAAACTTCTGAGATACGACGATTTTTTGTGATTTTTCAGAAAATTTTCAGAAAACTCAAATCAAAAAGTAATTCAAAAAATATGAAGTTCTCATCCCAAAAAATTTGTAGTACTGTAGTACTTAATTTTTTTTTTCAAATTTTCAACCTTGTAGTTGAATTCTGTGAGGATACTCTCAGCATTTCTAAATTGTAAATTTTCCGTCCAACTGCGACTGCTCAAATGCTCTTAGTTTCCGAGATGTGACGTTTGTTAAGTTTTTTTAATGTTCCAAGAATTCAGATATAAAAATGTCACAAAATTTGAAGTTCTCATCTCTATAGTGAAACCCTGTCAGGGTACTACCAGGGTTGCAAATTTTGTCTCCTACTTTACTGCTCAAATCCTTGTAGTTTTCTAGATATGACGTGTTTTATGATTTAATTTGAATTTTTCAGAAAGCTTTTATATTTTAAAAAATTCAAAAAATTGAAATTCCCAACCTTTTAGTTGGGTTGTGTGCGGGAACTTTCAGTAGTTCTAAGTTGCAAATTTTGCATCCAAATGCGACTGCTCAAACGCTCTTAGATTCCAAGATGTGACGGTTGTTAAGTCATTTTATTAAAAGTCTTCAAGGAATTCGGATATAAAATTTTTTAAACCAAATTTGAAGTTCTCATCGATATAGTGAGGCTATATAAGAGGACTCCAGGGTTTGCAAATTTTGCCTCCAAATATGACTGCTCAAATCCGTGTAATTTTCGAGATATGGCGTTTTTTATGGTTTTTCAAAATTAGAAAACTTAAATTTGAACTTTCTCAAAATTTGAAATTTCCAACTCTGTAGTTGAGTACTGTGAGGTTACTCTGAAAAGCTGCAAAGCCTGCGTTCAAATGCGACTGCTCAAATGCTCTTAGTTTTCGAGATGTCTTTTTTCATTTTTTAGGTCATTTTTTTTAAATGTTCAAAGAACATAGATATAAAAATTTTGCAAATTTTGAACTTTCGTCTCTATAGTGAAGCCCTGTCCGGGTACTGCCAGGGGTTGCAATTTTTGTCGTCTAATTTTACTGCTCAAATCATTCTGGTTTTCGACATATGACGTTTTTTATATTTCAGAAAAATTTCAAACCTCAAGTATAAAGAAATTTTTGAAATTACCAACCCTGTAGTTGGGGGCTGTCAGAGTGCTCTCAGGCATTGCTAATCTTGCCTCCAAATGTGGCTGCTCAAATCTTTTTCCTTTTCTAGAGATGACGTTTTGATTATGGTTTTTTTCAAAAAAAAAATTAGAAAGCTTAAATTTGAAGTTTCCCAAAATTTGAAATTTCCAACGCTGTAGTTGGGTACTGTAAGATTACCCTCAAGAGCTGCAAATCGTGCGTCGAAATGAGACTGCTCAGTTGGTTTTAGTTTCCGAGATGTGAAATTTTTTTCATGTATTTTTAAAATTTTTCGAAGAACTTGGATATAAAAAACTTCACAAAATTTTATGGTTTTTCAAAATTTGAATAAAGAATAAGTTGAATATAAAAATCAAAATATGAAATTGTAAAATAAATTACAAAATATGAAATTACCTACTCTGTAATTGGGTGCTGTCAGAGTACACTCGAAGGATGTAGATCTTATTTGCATTATATGCGGTTTTTATGAGTTGTCCAAAATAAGAAGCACTGTTTGGTTACTCTCTAGTTGTTTTTAGTTTTTCATTTTCTCAAAAATTAAATGCACAAATCTGAGATGAAAATTTCAATCAAAATCAAAAAATTATTTTCCTTCTCAAGTGGCTATTCCCTAAATTCGGTTGAAAAAAGTTATGGCCTCAAACATACCCATTTTTTGACATTTTGATTAATTTTTAAATTTTTTTGACTTTTCTCAAAAACTACCCTGAGAAATTGTCGGTTAAGGGTTTAACCGAAAGTTAAAAAACCAGTTATGCGACTCTCCTCTGCACAAGCGTCCAATGCCTTACGTTTCGAATAAAATTTGGCATTGGAAAAGGTCCAATTTTTGAAAGGTTGCCTAATTTTTTTGGAAACTTTTTTTCTTCAAAAACTAGCCTGTCGGTTCTGAGGTTGATAGTTTATCAATTTGACACGGTGCTAAGAATTTGCCTGCATAATTTGTTACACTTTTCTTTTTCGTAGAAAAGGCGATATAGACTTCGGAAAAATCCAATTTGTTTGAAATTTTTACCATTTTTTTTTAGAAGTTTCATCACTTTTCTCAAAAACTACAAGGTAAATCTGATATTAAGTTCAATCTAAATTGAAAGGTGTGGAAATCTTCCTTGCATAAGAGGCTCTTCCCATGCTTTGGTAGAGAAAGTTCATGGATCTAGGAAAAGTCAAGTTTGAATTTTTGATCATTTTATGTTATCTTTTTCACTTGTTTCGAAAATTACTCAGCCAAAACTGAGAGATAGAATATACCCGAAAGATATACAAGTAATTTTCTCCTTTAAATAAGCGGCTAATCCCCTAATTAAGCAGAGAAATCATCAGAATTTTGTGTAAAGTCTATTTTTGAGTATTTGAAAATTAGGCATTTACGTATCAGTACAATATGATTAAAAATATTAAAACAGGCGGATCCAGCATAAGCTGGGCCACTAGTTTACTTCCAAGCAATCGTAGCGCAGATGCCAGGACATGAGACTCCAAATCAACAAGTCGGAGATTTAAATACTGAACATTGAAATATTTTTTGTTCGAACTTTTGCTACATAGCCTTGGCAATTTGATAGAAACTGTAGCTACTTTATTGGTGGCTAGCGTTATTATAATCACAAGCGATCGTGGAGCAGATGTGAGAACGTGATAGTCCTAATTTCAGATAAAAAAATTTCAAGTTGTGTTATTAATCTTTTCATTTTGCCTTATTTCACTTTGTTTCGCCTGTTTAGACCTCTTTTTTGCGTTTTGCTCGCTTGTGTTTGCGAAGAGCAGCTTCGCCTCAGTGTAAAAATTTTATTTTGCTGTCTTTGGGTTTGATTGATTCAATTTTTTTTTGTGAGATATGATTTTTATAAGGCGTTTTAGCAGCATTTCGAGGTGTTCCAATTTTGTTCTATCAGTTGATGCGTAAACGATGACTCCATATTGCAAAATTGGCTGAACAAAATTTTCATATACCAAAAGAAGCCAGCTGCTTTTTGGTCAACATTTTTCTCAGTCTATAAAAGAGGCTACAGTACAGAAGCTGCTAAATGCCATTGCAAAAAGCTCATCGAGGAGGTTGCATTGCGTTATTCGATTGGTATTTTACTTACCAGGGGCATAGCGGCAGTTCTTAGTAGAGAGCTGAACAGATACTTTCCTCGTGAGTAAGTGGTTTTGACTTAACTGAACTTAAAGAAGCAAATAAAGTGACTTTAATTGAATCAAAATGACTGGAACTCTGAATTATACACGTTTCATTTTCATGTCGTCTTCAGGTCTTCTCTATCCGGGACTACAAGCTCTGGACGAGGAATATCTAAAATGTGATGCTCAGTTCGGAGGTGTCGACCAAAGGAAAATATTCATGTTTGCTGAGAAGTACCTCCCCCACCTCGGCTACGCTAAGAGAGCCCACTTGATGAACCCAATGGTACCTGGACTAACAGGCGGCAAAATGAGCTCGTCAGACCCGAATTCGAAACTAGATATTTTGGATTCGGCGTCGGCAGTGAAGAAGAAAATAGCCAAGTCGTTTTGCGAAGAGGGAGAGACAGAGAACAACGGAGTGTTACAGTTTGCAAAACATGTCATCTATCCACTAATAGGGAAATCAGGCTGGTGCATTTTCTCATGCTGGGACATCAAAAATAAAACGTTTCAAGAAAGTGAAGAAGTAAAAAAATAATTTAAAGAGTTCAGTTCGCACCAAAATCTTCTTGAAACTTTGTTCTTTTTGGAGTGCAACTGATGAAATTAGTGTTCAGATAATCTTGCTCTGAATTTTTTTTGGGTTTTGAGGTAGAAAGATGACTAGATAATAAGGGTTCCATTTCAATTCACCATCGGGTTGATATGATGACTATGTGTCCATCTTCCACTATCTATGACAAGCAGACGGGTCTGATCCAGACAGTGAACTTTATAGGCAATTATGAGCGACAGTAAAGCAAACAAAGCAGAAGCAAGGCTCCCAATTAGAGAAAATTTTCAGCCAAATATTGAGAAACTATTTATTACAGCAGTTAGTTTCATTTTCGTTCGATTTAAGGGCAAGCAAGTTGCGAAACAATCATTCGTTTACCGCCTAAATCGTTCAAATACCCGCCAAAATTCCTTCCTTTTTTGTTTACCTCGTTTTTATGCTCACTGTCTAGATCAGACCCGTCTCCAATTTTTCTTGTATAGTCTCCCCGCAGGCAAATTTTTGAAAAAAAACGCCAAAAAAGCGTTGTATTTCAAATTTAGTATAAATTGGCGTCTTTAGAAAAATTTTAGTGTCGGTCAGCCAAAATCGGATGTCTTAAAATAGTAGCAAAGGGGGATCCTTTGGGTCGGCAGTGGGTCGAATCCCCCAAATCCGCCCCTGTAGTCTAAACATCAAGTTGAATTTTATTCTATCTCTGCCCATAAAGTGAAAGTCATTGTTTTACTTTTCAGTAATGAAAGCTTCCTTAAGGATTTACTGTTTACTTATTCTGTTTTAGGTAGCCCATTCGAAGCTGAGACAGGTTTCACAATAAAGCGACCGGAGCAGTTCGGCGGTGATAAAGTGTACCCTACTTTCGAGCAACTCAGCTCCGACTTCGCCCAGAAGCTACTCCACCCGGGAGATCTGAAGACCAACGTGGAGAGGTACCATCAGTAAATGTGGTCTTCAATCAGTAGCGTGTAGCGTTTTTAAAGTGGATTTCAGTTTTAGGGGCTCCTTGCAGAGCTATGTTTATATGAAAGTTTTCATAGACGTGGTTAACCAACTTTAACTGACACTTAGCCACAAAACCGTTGAAGTGTCGAAAACTTGAGAAATGGTTCTCATTATGGCCTTTTTCCTGAAAAAAAGCTCTGAAAAAGTTTTGACACAGGTACCTGAATGTGTTACTGGACCCAATCAGAAAGCAGTTCGAGGAGTCGGTAGAGTTGAAGAAACTGGTTGCTAAGGCTTACCCTGAAGAGGAGAAAGACAAGAAGAAAGGAGGAGGAAATACGAAGGCAGCTGCTGGAGACAGGTAACAGTCCCTTCAAGTGCGATGAGAATTATTAGGCTACTTGTGGCGAATTTACTTTAATGTATCCACGATTTATTTATTTTTCAATTTTCTTTCAATGTTCTACTTTTATTTCAGTTATTAATTGTCAATGAACCAACTGAAAACACTTGCATAATTAGTTTTTTTTCACGCTCAAAGTTTTTTTCACGCTTTTTTTCAAGTCATAAAATTTGTTACACTCAGTTTGATTTTTGTTGGTTTGACTTTTTAAGATTTTCAAGTTCATATAGTGTAAGGAACGAAAATTGCGCTCTCCAATACAGAACGCAGAGATGTCGTGGAAAAAAGTGAACGAGTTCTTGGATAGAATATGAATGTTAATTTTCAGATTAGATTTTCCCAGTAATACAAAAAAAATTTGCTTTAAAAATTACCCATTGATCCAATTTTCTCTAGTTGGGCTTGTTTTTTAATATAAGTGCTGACCATAAAACTTTCCTGCAATTTAAAGACCTTCAACGCAATTTCTTTTCAAGTTCGAAGTTCGAAAGAAGTCAATCATTTTTTTTCCGGAAATTGAAGTTTGAAAGTTTCAAAAGTCAAACATTATGTTTTGGTTTTACCTGAGTTGGTTGGCTGTTTTGAAAAAGTTAACAAGTCAATCATAAAAGAGTCAATCATAACAAGTCAATCATTCAGTAAGTATTAAGTCATTACATGGGTTTTACACTTGCGAAGCTAGATTATTAGTATGAGCATTTTTTCAACCTAAGTCGCAAATATTGGTGCGGCACACCAATAATGCTGGGGCACCTTTACAGCTTTTTGATAGCATGTGCTTTGACATTCGAATTGTAATAAATTAACACAGTTGATGCATTTTTATTTCATCAAATGAACCGAAAAAAGCTATTTTTTTTTCAAACATTATCACAATAATAAAAACTCGATTTCAGAAATTTTCTAAGTCAATGTATCTCAAAATTTTTGAATTGCATAATTTTTTACCCTTGCGATAGCAAGGATATTGCAATCGGATGCTAGACTTTTTACCATAAACAACTTTGTCAACAAATTCATTGGACTCCTGGTGGTACCTTCTTTGGCTCATAATGAATTCAAATTTTTGAGTCTCTTGCACACTTAGCTTGGTGGAAACGCATTTGCCCAGGACGGTAAAGGCCTGGATTCGAATCTGATCAGGACCGGTTTTTTTTCAAACGGTAATAGTTCCAGTTCATAAAAAATTCGGCCTATTATTTGTCTGCTTATGTTTTGTCGGCTTAGTTGCCTTATGTAAGAATAGTTTATTTTTGGTGCAAACAAATTTCAATGTAGCTGCTTAGTGTATCAGTGTTTTAAAAATTCGGCCGAATGGAAGTTAGCTTTTTACATTGGTTGTAATTTTAGCAACTCGAATTGTTAAAGTTTGTTTACATTTTTTGTCTGCTTTTTTTCGACTTAGTCGGTTTCGGCTTATTTTATGTCTTTTTAGTGACCTTTTATTGCATCGGTTGACGGCCGTGAAAATTTTTCGTTTGCGTGTGTTCTGAGGGGAAGGGAGACTCATAATTTTTTATTATGATTTTTTTTGGCATGAAGTGCTTCTGTTGAGGTTTTTCTGTTTTGTTACTGCTTGCTTAGTTTTGTTCTTATGCTAGTTTTGCATTCTATTGTCTTAGTATGTTTTTTTTTCAAAACTGTCTCATTCATTTTGATAAATTGGTCGTATTTATACTTATAAAACATCGATAATACTTTTTTGCTGATGATTTTTTCGCTTTCGATTTAGCTCTCGGTCTAGCTTTCCAATTGTGTATACCACCTTTATTTCAGTACCTTAATGCTTTCGTGGATAATATTTGGTCAGTACATGTATATTTTCGGATAAATTTTTGACGAACAATTTTGGTTGAATTTCAGCTAATTGGCTGTCGGCTTTAATTCTGTCGGCTTATATACCTAATATTTTGTGTCCTACAAGTCTCCGACAGTATTTATGAGATCCTTTAGACTTTGGTCCCAATTTGAATTTTTCGAATGCTCAAATTCAACTAAACTTGGAAATCTTAAAAATTTTAAACACCTTTAAACATCAAAAAAATATTTGAATGTTTTTGTTTCTAGTTTTTTCTTCTACGCTTACAACTTTCGAAGTCCTCTTTGATAGTTCTTCAGTATCTTGCTGTTTTAATCTTTTACTTATTGTATTGCAAGTGGTACTCTGTGTTTGAAACTATTGAGAGTCACTGAACGTAGTGACGATTCTTATATAGGTCTGAATGATTTTTTATTCGTTTTTTTTTGAGGAAAAAGTCTAAGAATGCTACAATAGCTACAGATATGCGTTCATACATAGTTATACATTTATGAATACGCTTAGGTTCATATGCACTTAGGTTGTGTCTGTATACTTTGTGATTTGTTACATGCAAAGTTGGTGTGGATGCCTTCAGTTTGTTATGTTCCAAATCATTAATTGCAAAATTGTGTCTATTTGTATTTGGTGTTGAATCGCATTGGCAAATTGTTAGCATATGTAGCTGCATTATTCGTGACTAGTGTTTGTCGGTTGTTAAGCTTGAGACGCTGAGTGGATAGTGCGTGAGACTCAAAATCTCTTGATTGCAGTGGGTCGCAGATTCGAATCCTGCACGTAGCCAATTTTTTGCTAATTCGAGGCTTATTTCTACTTTTTTAAAATTAACTTGATAGAGCTGCTTTTTGGTCGTGTTCTGGCAAGTGCTTGCGAAGCGCAGGTTCGCCTCTGTGTTTGAAATTATTGAGAGTCACTGAACGTAGTGAAGATTCTTATATAGGTCTGAGTGATTTTTTATTCGTTTTTTTTTCAGGAAAAAGTCTAAGAATGCTACAATAGCTACAGATGTGCGTTCATATATATTTATACATTTATGAATACACTAAAGTTCATATGCATTTCGTGAATTCAATTCAAATCCATCTGCTAACAGTAGAGTAAATTGCACTCTCCGAATTTGAAAGAGGCTCAAACGTGAACTACTTTTAGTTACGAAATTTGATTAAGTTTGTAGGTTTCCCAGCGGATCAAAAACTTTGCCTATTGATCGATTTTTCTCGAATTGAGTTAATTTTATCAAAAAAGTATCAATCATAACTTGCCTCGAATTTCAAAGAGTTATTTTTTTCCGTTTCTTTGCGTTCATTGAATCGTTTCCAACTGTTACAAGTCTTGCTGATGAGAAGTCTTGCTGGTGAGTTTTATACAATTTTTAGACTGGTTTTGACGTTTACGACGAAGTGTTTTTGGTCATTTTTTATTGATCGCGAAGATGGCAATTTTGAAAGAAGTTACGTGTCCTTGACGGTAGGGCATTTTTTAAGAGCACATAGTTTATAGTGCTTTTTAAAGAGTTAATAGTCTCACTGTAGATCGGATCTCGCATCCTCCATTAGCCCAAAGTTATTTTAATTTGGTTTTGTGGAAAAAAAATCTTTTTGATTGGTTGTCGGCAAGAGATCCATAGTTATTTCAATTTTCTCGCTCGTGAAATTACAGTTGTCCAAACTTCAATAATTTTTTGCACAGCGAGCTAGCGAGCTTATGTAATTGTGTAGATCTATTTTTTTAACCGAAACTCAAATAAAGTGCTCATTTGGTGGAACTTTGGCTATAATTACAATCTGTAGCGTTGGAAATTTTATAGCATCTGTTTTCTGTTTTATTGTTGACTATTGTTTGACGATTGTTGAGCGACCGTGGATCACATAGAAGGATTTGAGACTCCTAGTCTAGAGGTAGCAGGGTAATGCGGCATTTAAATCTAGATTTGTTGCTGCATAGCATTGTTTTAGCTTCTTTTGTTGCGTTATTGGGGGTTTGCGTTGGCAAGGTCTCGGGGTGCGGATTTGAGGGCATGAGGCTACAAACGTCGAGTTTGGAGGTTTGAATTTCACTCATAGCAAAATTTTTTCTATGCAAGGCTTCTTTTAAAATTTTCTTATTAAGAGTCAATGAACGTAGTTTAGACTCTTATTAAGGTCATGCTATATATTTTTGTCAAGAAAAGTCTAAAAATTTGTTCAGGCTCAAAAATTACTTTTTCGTGGTTTGACTTTTGATTCATTTTCAATCTCATTTGTTAAAAATAAGGCAAACTCCAGCATCCAACAGCAAAACTTTCAAGGTCAGGAACAGCGTGATCGACTTTAATTTCGAATGTCCTATATTTTAAATAGAAGTCTTAATGGAAGACTGGCAACAAAACAGTCACTAATCGCGGTTACTCTGTTCGTTTTTGCCAGTGATTGTGCTGGGCACACCGTGTTAGTGCAATTTTGACTGTTGCGGGAGGAAGTGAAGTCTTTGAGCAAACGAAAGTGGTTTTGTGGTTGTCGGCGTGCCTGTGAATATCGCCCTGCTTCTCAACCGGCGAAATTTTTTGACAGGTTGTCGTTATTCTCCGTTCTGTGAAATTGTCAGAAATTGCTAGCTTTGTCGAAACAGCAAACAAGCTGCATCCGTTCCTGAAGTTCACTAATGAACCCGAGATTGACGGAGCTTTGCCTTTTCTCGATATGTTGGCGACGAGAGCAAATGGTAGGTTGCAGACGTCCTGGTACTCTAAGCCGACGGACACAGGGCTGTCGTTGAGCTACCTTGCAGTTGCTCCGAACAAATACAAGCGGAATATCGTCGAAGGAACCATCCACAGGATTCATCATGCTACGTCGACGTGGGAGGCTTTCAACGACGGTCTTGAGAAAGCCACAGCGAATTGGGAGGCAAATCAGTATCCACCTTCTTTTGCTCCCCCATTGTTCGTGCCACTGTTAAGAAGCTTTTGGAGACGAGAGTCAACACACTGGAGCAGAAGGCTGCATGCAAAACGCAGAAGAGCCGTCGTCTTGCAGTATGAAGGTCGTATCTGACGAGTTCTCCAAACGCTTCAGAACAGCTACCGGATTCTCAGTTATCTTCACTACGAGGAAGCTTAAATCCTGTCTGCTCTCATAGAAGTGTCCCATTCCAGAGGAAC